TGTGTGTGTGTGTGTGTGTGTGTGTGTGTGTGTGTGTGTGTGTGTGTGTGTTTGTTTGAGAAAGAGAAAAAATAACTCCATGACAGTTCTACTAAACAGAATAAGTTTCTCATTATTTGTTTTGATCAATTATTTTCAAAGACCGTGAGAAGCAGCGCTCTTAGATTCACGCGCTGGTGGCATTTTGAAATAGTCGTGAGAGATAAAAATAAGAGTACTGAGTCCTTCAAAAAAATTTCGGTGCTATTAAAATTGTCATTAGATGGAAAGATTGCATAAAACCAGCGAAATCAAATGGAAGCAAATCACACATGACCAAGAACGTTTTGTTTGAGTTTTCTACCTGTTATAATGATACAATCTACCCCCAAGTATAATGACCCCAATGTAAGATCTAAAGCCATTTGGTTGAGAAATGTAGATCTGTCTTGGCGCTCATTCGACCTTATGCAGTTGCGAGCGCCGTAAAACCTCTACTAAAACTAAACAAAGATCTGTCTAGAGTTGGCTGCATGAACTGAATTTGGCATACTATAACGTGACTATTTCTCAATTACATGTCACCGTGGGCCCTAGGAACACAAGGTGGGAGAGGGGTGGTGGGGGTGGAGAGTGTGAACTGAATAGGGCTAGACATGAAAATAAACAGAAATTAATTTCATCTCAGACAGAACATATTGTACTAAGCTTACAGACAGTAAACATTTCTATCTAGGCTCAAGGGTAGAAAAGTTGATGAAACAATCTGGAAAACAAACACTTCCCACGCAACTGCCAGACACAGACGAGGCTTTTTCTCTTTATATATAGAAGAAATGTCACCTAATGTCACCTAATGTCACGAACAAGGACGTCCTAATACATATCAGTATTATCACGAACTAAGACAAGGCAAATAATGGCACCTACCTACGTCAATCACCAACGTCAGCTCGTAATTAAAAAGTCGCATGCATTGCTGTTGTAATTATAGGTTCATCTGTTTCTATAGTTATCACTTCTTATTTAGAGTTGTCGATATGGTTATCATAGATGCGTTTGCTGCTATTTTATTGTTATTATTACTATTATTATTATTATTATTATTATTATTATTATTATTATTATTATTATTATTATTATTATTATTATTACCATTATTATTATTATTATTATTATCATTATTATTATTATTATTATCATTATTATTATTATTATTATCATTATTATTATTGCCGTAAATGTGTCAGCTCTTGTTATTACTTCTATGGTTATTGTTATTATATCATCATCATCATCATCATCATCATCATCATCATCATCATCATCATCATCATCATCATCATCATCATCATCATCATCATCATCATCATCATCATCATCATCATCATCATGTGGTGAAAAAAAAAAGTGAAAATGGTTTAGAAGATTTTTCTATTTCACTATTTTTATTTTATTTTATTTTTATTAATCCAATAATTATTTATTTATTTCTTTAGTTCTTTATTTTATTTTACTTACATTTTTTTATACCAGATTTACCTCGTGACTCACCGTAAAGATCTGCGGTCCCACCATCATTGACCACGTTCTGTGGGCCGGGTACCGGCTGCTGTACGAAACCATTGTTGCCCTGTACCTGGGGAGAGGAAGTGAAAGGACTTAGAATACTCAGATCTATAGCGCGGTCAAAAATTCGTGGCGCAACTCATCCTCAAATGTCTCTTTAACGGGGGAATCAATGTCACCCATACTTTGCACATCAGTTTGTATCAATTTGTCTTAACTTAATCCCATTTTCCACAACAACTGAGGATCGATTTAAAAACGTTTCTTCATAAATTTATGTAAAATCTGTAATCAATCTCCACCATGCGGAAAATAGGATTGTTGACAGCACTTCCCGCTTCTCGCATACGCATAATATGACCTGTGTCACAGCTCGCCAATGACACTTTTTAGTGGCAGAACTTCTTACAAGAAATTGATTTTATAGTGAACAGATTTTTTTTTGCACTAAAGGTTTCCTAAACATACGTTGAAAATGTATACTGTTGCGATTAGAAAAAAAATGATAGACTCGCTTTTAAAAGCGATATTGCCCGAGCTGTAAACTTGTTAAAATCTGTAGAAACCATCGACTGGGATTTTTTATTTGTATTTTCGAGGTAGTAAGGGATTTTTTAGAATACAGTGTGCAGGAGTTTTAAAAAATATTCACCATTGATTGCAATTGATATAAGTCATTGTACAAAAGTTGGAGAATCTATGTTCGACAGTTAAGGAGATATTTGACAATAAGTTGCGCTATGCATATTTGGCCGCGCTATAGCGAGTGAGAGCCTTTCGGATCTACATGCACAGCTCTCAGTCAAGCTTATTTTTATTTTGTGATCGCTTATAATTAGCCCCCCCCCCCACGATAAAAAAGTAAGTACATGTGTCTCCCCCCCCCCTA